GGCAGCGCGGTTGGGAAAGAGACGGTAGTAAGACACTGACTTGTCAAACGTGACGTCCTGAGAGGACAGAACACGGCGCGAGGTGGGGTGGTAGAACTGCCACCCAGGTGCGTCAGGGGGGAAGCCAAGGAAGACGCAGGGAACGGCACGGGAGGACAGCTTGTCCGCGGAAGTATTGCGGACAAAAGCTCGAGATCCCTAGACACGGAACACAGACGCATCGCCAACCTTCCCCGTCCACCGCAGAGTAGGTGTGGTCTCCGGCAAGGAGACACGAGGCTGAAGGTTGATCTGATGCACAGCGTACTGAACCGCGAACGACCACAGAAAATGGGGAGCCACCGCATGGATCATGGACGTACGAGCGACGTCCATGACCATGCCAATGCGGCGCTCAGCAATCCCATTTTTCTGTGGGGAGGCCGGAAGCGTGAACGTCTGGCGGATGCCCTCCGCACGACAGAAGGCCCTCAGGAGGTCGGAGGAAAACTCACCACCTCTGTCTGAGTGCAGACGCAGAACAGGAAGGTCCGAGCCGAAACTCTCGCGGAGCTAGCGATGCGCACCGCGGATCCAGTCGATCAACACCTCAGTGACATCACCCTTGCTGCACAAGGGGAAGACTGAGGTGTAACGCGAGTATTCGTCAACGACCAGCATGAAGTAATGCTCGTGACCCTGTCCACGGACGCGGGCTGGGCCCCACACGTCCATGTGAAGAGTCTGCAGGGGAGCCTCGGTCGAAGGGAACGAGGAGGAGTGAGGAGCGGCGCACTGCCGGCCCTCGACACAGGGAACACAGGTGGGGGCAGGCCCTGGAGGAAGGGGGGGAAGGCACCGGGGGAGACCCGAGACAAGGGTACGGGAGGCCATGCCTCGAAGGCGAGGCATGGAGGGGTGACCAAGGCGGTGGTGCCAAAGGAGAGTCTCATGCGTAAGAGGACGACACGAGCAGGGGGCAGACGCAGGACTAGACCTGGACGCAGCCGCAAACACCTGACTAGACGCAGCTACCTGACCAGACGCAGAGACCGGAGGGGGCGCAGTAGTCAGTGTGTAGAGACTCGACCCAGGCCGACGGGTGAACGTGGCCAGGTGCAGGACGTCCGAGAGCAAGTGCAGTGGGTCACAGGCTGACCTCAAGGGGCGAACTGGTCAACCCACGCGTCCTGGAGGTCAGCTCCACTCACCAAGTTCGTAGAGAACGAGGGGAGGTGGAGTCCCGACAGCAAGCCCGACGGGGCCGCAGGACACGGTACAACCGTGGAAGAGTGCGAAAGGACTGGGCCCCCAGAGGGGTCAGCCAGGGAGACTGCTACAGGCCGACTGAGCAGCGTGAGCGTGGTGCTGTCTCTAAAGAAAGAGCGCGAAGCACCAGAGTCAAGTGTGAAAGTGTGTAAGGCCTCAGTAGGTGCTGTACTAGAGAGAGCAGACTCACCAGCACCTGGAGCAGCGGACTCACTAGTACCTGGAGCAGCAGACGCACTAGCACCTAGAGCAGCAGCCTCAATGCCCGGGTCGGGCGGGACACTCAGGTAACAGTCACCCTCAGCACTATCAGTCAAAGCATACATGGCAGCAAGGATAGCATCGAAATCAAGATCAAAGATAGCAACATTCTGCCTAAGCAGATCACCCCAGCGAGGGAGCTCAACAGTGTCAGGAAACTGGGCGTCAGTCAGGCGACTAAAGTAGCGCTGCGCAGTGTGTGACAGCCCGCACGTCTCCCCACGACGACTGCCGGTGCGAAGAACATAAGTGCAGGGACCAGCACCCCCAGACCTCCCACGCCCAGCGTACCACTCACGAAGCTGCTGGGCCGACGGGGTCTCACGGGAACGCGGCTGCTGCTGGCGCTGGCTACCACCAAAGCCTCCACGCTGCGCGGCTGCACCTCGACCAGCACCACCGCCACCGCCACCGCCACCTCCGCCACCGCTGCCGCTGCCTCCGCGACCGCTGCCGCAGCCTCCACCACCTCCGCTGCTGCCTCCACCACCGCCACCGCCGCCACTGTATCCCCCACTCCCGGCACCACCCCCACCTCCACCACCACCCCCTCCGCCTCCTCCACTGCCTCCACCGCCGCCCCCGCCGTCCCCTCCACCACCCTTGCTCCCCTTGCCCTTGCTGTTGCGGCGTCTCCCACTAGGGGCAGACACAGCGCCGACCTCCTCAGTGCCAACGAGGTCGACAGCAGCAGCAGAAGCAACAGAGGGGAGAAGGGGGACAGGGGAACACCCCTCAAAGAAAGGGGTGCGACGGTCGCCGCGAGAAGCACCTACAGCTAAGATACTCTTCTCAGCTGCAGCTAGGCGCTCCTCTAGCAGGTCGACAGTGAGCTCGGTGGGGCAAAGGGAGAGAAAGTGGTCCCTGACTGAAGAAAGGGAGTTAGGGAGGCGGGTGACTAGGTAGTAAAGGGTGATGTACATGGGGGGGGGGGTTCTTGGCACAGAACTCAGTGGGAAGGGCAGCGCGGTAGCGGGCGTCACTAGTGCGGAGGTGAGCAGTGAGATCAGCGACTGTGGCTAAGGCGGCAAGGTCAGGGAAAAGGTACGGCAGCATGAGGCGGCTGAGGGCAACAGTGGCAGGGGAGGAGTAGCGCGCAACTACAGCGTCGTACAAAGACTGAGCAGTCTTGTACTGGCCAAAATGCGCGCGCTCAGCAGGCGGCATGTGACTACGAATAGCAAGACGAGCAACAGCGTCACGAGTGGTCCACTGCGAGCGAACCGTACTGTCAGCAGTGGCAGCAGGTGCAGTAGAGACACCAGAAGTGTGATCGAAAAGGGATACCCCATCCCTAGAGTCACACTGAAGAAAGAGCTGTAGGTCGTCAACCCACACGTCAAAGTCAACTGCACGCCCCTCAGCATCAAACGTGAGAATAGTAGGGCTAGCCATAGTAGCAGTAGCAGCAGTAGCAGCAGCAGGAGCAGCAGTGGCAGCAGAAGCAGAGCAGGCAAAGGGGGGGCAGCGCGGCACGGCTCGGCAGGGCAGCGCGGCTCGGCAGGGCGGCGCGGCTCGGTAGGCGCGGCGCGGCTCGGCTGGGCGGTGCGGCTCGGCAGAGCGGCGCTGCTCGGGGGGCTGCGCGGCTCGGCTGGGCGGTGCGGCACAGCAGGGGGTTGGGCGCGGGGCTTACCAGGGGCGCGACAGTAGTGGGGCCGCTGCAGTAGAGGGGCCGCGTCAGCAGAGGGGGCCGCAACTACAGAGGCCGCGACAGTAGTGGCTGGGACGGCAGGGGCTGCGACAGCAGAGGCCGCGACAGCAGCAGGGGCCGGGACGGTAGAGGTCGTGACGACAGCAGGGGCCAAAGTTGCAGACGGGGCCGCTTCAGCAGAGGGGCCGCGACAGTAGAGGGGGCGCTTCAGCAGAGGGGCCGCTTCAGCAGAGGGGCCGCTGCAGTAGAGGGGCCGCGACAGCAGGGGCTGTGATGGCAGGGGCCGCGACAGTAGCAGGGGCCGGGACGGCAGAGGCCGTGACGGCAGTAGGGGCCGCAGCGGCAGACGGGGCCACGACAGTAGCAAGGGCCACGACGGCAGTAGGGGCCGCAACAGCAGCAGGGGCCGCAGCAGCGGCAGGGGTCGCGTCGGCCGTAGGGGCCGCGTCGGCCGTAGGGGCCGCGTCGGCAGTAAGGGCCGCGTCGGCCGTAGGGGCCGCGACAGCAGGAACGGGCCCCGTAGGCACTAGGGGCCGCGTCGGCCGTAGGGGCCGCGACGACAGTAAGGGGAGGGGGGGGGGGGGGGGGGGGGGGGCGCGACTGTAGTAGGGGCCGCGACAGCAGGGCAGGGGCAGGCGCGAAGCGCGCTGCGGTCAGGGCAGGAAAAAAAGTTACTATTTCGGTGGGCCCTAAAAAAAAAAACGTTCCCACAGGGGAACTTGCTCTGATACCATGTCAAAATCAACCAAAGGAAAAAAAATGAACTAGGCAGCAGGTGGGTACAAATATGAAAACCTAAAAAGTGTTGTACCCTGTATTGACTACCCCACTACAGCCTAGATAGATTATAGCAGATATGTTTGACAGCACATTAACAGGGATCGTTAGCAGGGAAAACGGCAAGCACGTTAGTAGGGATCGTTAGCAGAGAAAACTGCTACACTCACCATGCCGGAAGTCTTCCAGCCACTTGGCCTCGTCACGTTTCTTCGAAGGAATTATCATCTCCCCCGCGAGCAACGGCCACCTACTCTCGTCAACCATCCCACCCGCACCCCATGCATAAAACCGTATCTTCTTGTGGCTGTTCGAGCGTTTCGTCTTAATCACCTTCAGCGCCAGCTTTTCAAATTCGACCCTGCCACCAACCGCGTAGTAGTACTCGTCTTGGACGAGTCCCGATTGACGGTACTTCATCACGAGATGGGGTTGAAACACTTCCCATGTTGGGAAGAACTCCATGACATCCACTGGCGCCAGTGATATCAGCCACGTGTAGGTCTCCAGCGCCTTTGTCTGAAGCCGGGATGAAAGACAAAGGTGTAGGATACAGACTTTTAAGCATCAGGAAACCCACCGCGACATCGTCAGGGAACATACATTCTCGCACATAAGGACATCGTCAGGAGCATGGCCTGCTTTTAAGCGTAACAGAAACTCACCGCGAACTCCTTAGGAAAGAGACTTGGCTTCGGGATGAAGCCAGTTGCGACTCGAGCTTGGAGATGTGGTTACGAAACGTGTCACGCTCGGCCTCAACAACGGCTAGCTTCTGCTGGGCTTCTGCAAGAGAGGACTGAAGGATATCGATCGTCCTCTAAAAATCCTCAACCCGCACCTGCAGAGCTCGATTCTCACGGTACATGTACGCCCCCATACCTGAAAAGAGAGAAGGATCATATTTAGCACTTAAGATATAACGAATAACAAGCATACAAAGAATAATCATTAACATTCAAACGAAATGCGCTCATATGTATGTTACCAACAACCAAACTATAAAACAATCACCTTCAGTGCGAGTTCCGCGGATGGCAGGAGGATTCGGCTCGGCAAGCGCCTATTGCTGTTGTTCAGCAGCTTGATGGTGGTGCTGCTGAGCAACTTGATGGTGTTGCGGCTGAGCAGCTTGATGGTTCTGACCGCCAGCTTCTCCAGAACCGTCATCTTCGCCTTCGGACTCCTCAGCCTCGTCCTCATCCAGCGCATCGTCACGATCTTCTAACTGCTCGTCGTCCTGCTCCTCGTCTTCATCCTCGTCGAAGGCGATGCCGTTGACATCCGGTAACACATCGGCAGCCAGCTCGCCAGTGGTTGTGTCAGCGACGGAGTGAACGTTGTGCTGCTGGGGACTTGCAGCACAGTCGAGGTTCTGCTGCAAGGTAGCAACAGGGGCCTGCTGGACAGCAACAAGGGCCTTCCGGGTACTTGTGACAGGAGATGGGTTCGGGAGGGAGTTAGAGTTGGTGTGAAGCTGCTGTAGGAAACTCGCGCCCGTTGGTTGAGCACCGTGCGACTCCGGTTCAAGCGGCTCCTGGGTAGTTTCGGTTGCAGGTAAGTCGTCTGCTCGGGGTGTAGGACGTCCACCCTTTTTGCCCGGCTTCTTTCCCTTCTTCCCAGCTGACTTTGTGGGGCGGCCACCCTTCTTAGGAGCTGGCACACCTAAGAGTGCGTGAATACACTTCTTCTTGGCGGCGCTAGCTAAGCAGTCACGGCGCTTGAGAGCTTGCTCGTAGAGAGCGCGTTGGCTGTTGACGAGCTCATCTGCTTGAGCTTCTGTCAAAGCTTGTGAAAATGGCGATTCTAGCGTGACCCCTCCCATCTCCTCACCAGGTCCCTGTACCCGTCTGGTCAGCCCGTTGCCTGCCCGATAATTTGGGTCCTCGGTCTCTCCCATTGCGATCTACGATAAAATACGATTTACTTACCTTCACAGGTCAAATACTATGGTTTCGGGCGGAGGGCGAGTTCGAAAACGGCACGAAAAATACCCAGCCGGGATTTGACCGCCTGGGGGGCGATGCCAATGGAAAAAAAAGGACGATACTGCTAAGGTTGTCTCTCATTGGCGGATTCTCGCGATATCGCGCCAGCACATTGCATCCAAATTGAGAATGTTGGCAGCTCCAATAATCGTGATCATCGAATGATCACGATTGCATTTTCGTGTGCAACGAGAAATCTAGACCGTCCAGATTATATCTTCGCGATGACAGCACGACTGCTAGCCCTGAAACCGAGGGCACAGAAAGGGTGAAGGTTGCATCCACGTCACTTTGCCACCCTTTTTACAGACACGCGTCACCCACCTGAGCATCTAATCACATGAGCCGCTTCCACATGCGCGTCAGGTTAACGAACCTGACGACGTTCTGATGTGCTGACGCGCCGCTACCGGCTACGATTGGCCATTGAGTCGTGTGTTGTGGAGTGTTTGCCAGATGTAGGCAGGCGAGACCATTCAACGGACTGTGCCAATTGTCAACCACCCCCTCATACACGTTTGTACTTCAAACTTAATGAAAAAGCAAAATATTTATATGAATTTGATATTTTATTTATTAGCTGAAAAACTATGCTATGTGTTTACGCAGGGAACAAACATAATGCTCTGATGAGTGGCCCGTTGTGCAAACACCACCAACCATGTCGGGTTACCAAGTTGCGATAAAATCACCTACGTCCATAGTTTATTTTTTAAATCACCAAGGATAACTTTTAGCACTTGAGAATGTTGTGACCTCCCTATTAGATTTTGCGAATGACACCAAGCTTGAACAGCACGCTTAGAATATAGTAAATGCTTGATGTCAGAATCCCAACCACTAGACCATTGGGATAAAATGGCTTGTTAAGTAGCGGGTCAGTGCGCCCATAACCCCCGAGGACAAAGAGTCTGAAACCCTTCCCTACGATCAATCGGGGATCACCAGTGGACCTCTGACACCCCCCCGCACTGGGAAGCCCAAAGTGCACACACTGGGATTCGAACCCGAGACCTTTGCTCTAATACCATGTCAGAATCCCAACCACTAGACCATTGGGATAAAAGGGCTTGTTAAGTAGCGGGTCAGTGCGCCCATAACCCCCCAGGACAAAGAGCCTGTAACCCTTCCCTACGATCAATCGGGGATCACCAGTGGACCTCTGACACTTGAATGATCCAAAGAAATTGTCTTTAAAACAATAAACGGACGTTGATTTCTCACATCATGACGCACAGGCCTATCCTTGCCCACTTCCAGGCCATCGAACGGAGAAACAAGCGTCACGGGCTGCGTAATAGTGCAAATGAGCTGCGTAGTTGTGCTATGGCAAGGGAATAGTATGTACTACCTAACAGCGTGAAGAATTAGCGGTAAAAAAGGCATCCGGACGTTGGCGTGCTGACATGTTGCGAACATGCCTATCCTCGCACAGATTCACCATCAAACGGACAAACATGCGCCACGAGTTGCGTAGTGTCAGAATACTGAACGAGAATGATTGCATTGAATAGAAGTTGGGTACAAGTACTAACCCTCATTAGGTTGTACCCCTTATGGGCTACCCCACTATAGCCTACACAAAGTAAGCAATATAACATTCTGACACACCCCCATAAGCAAAGTGGGGGAGAACAAGTGGTCACAAGACCAGTCAAGAAAAGCAAAGCAAGCTCAGGGTGTATCACAAAGTCACCACACAGTCCGAGCACAAGCAAAGGGCCACAAGGCCAGTTCACATGCAGTGTTATATAAAAGAGAACAAACGATACAGTGATTATACCCTAGGAAGTGTAAGCATGCAGGTATATATTTACATCACAGTCCAAGCAAAGTCACGTAGTGAGTAAGTGAGGCAAAGTAGGCACAAGGCCTAACACAGTAACAAAGCGCTGATGATCACCAGACTGATGTGCCTTGGAAAATATATCAGCAGTGTTGGCCCTAGTGGCCACGTACGCAAGACAAAGCTGACCACGCTGCTGCAACTCTCGAGCAAGGAAGTATCGCAGAGCGATGTGCTTCGTTCTTTGCTCCAGTCTGTGCCCTTGGCACAAGGCAATCATGGCCTTGTTGTCTACGTACAGAACTGGAGGCGAACGAGGCTGCTCTCCCAAGTCAGTCAGCAGGTAGGTGAGCCAGCGTAACTCCTGTGCAGCCATGGCCCATGCGTAGATCTCAGCCTCACAACTGGAACTGAGAACCGAAGACGAGCGGGTAGACCGCCAGGAAACAGAGCCAGAACCGAGGCTGAAGGTGCAACCCTGTGACGACCGCTGCGTAGCCAAGTCCTCAACCCAAGAAGCGTCTGCGTGTCCAGTGAGGACAACTGGACCCCGTCCTCCAAGCACGAGCCCCATGCCCGACGTACTGCACAAGTAATGCAGTACCCTCTTCGCAGCATCCCAGTGCACCTTTTGGTGCCTACCAGGAGCCACGTAGCAAGCCAGGAGGCTGAGAGGGTGTCAGAGGTCCACTGGTGATCCCCGATTGATCCTAGGGAAGGGTTACAGGCTCGTTGTCCTGGGGGGTTATGGGCGCACTGACCCGCTACTTAACAAGCCCTTTTATCCCAATGGTCTAGTGGTTGGGATTCTGACAGAGGGTACGCGAGGTCAGGTCATGTGCACGTCATCAGGTACATGAGGCAACCCACAAGCTCTGGGTACGGACCACTCGGCTCTACGGACTCGTCCTAAGGTCTTATTCTAGTCATTTACTTCAGCTCATCTTGTGGTAGTATTCAGTTCGTTCATATGTCAGAATGTTATAGTGCTTACAGTTGTGTAGGCTATAGTGGGGTAGCCCATAAGGAATACAACCCAATTAGGGTTAGTACTTGTACCCAACTCTTTCATAGTTCATTCATTCTTGTTCGTTATTCTGACATGGTTTCAGGGCAGGTCCTTCGTTAGGACCGATTTTTTTGGGTCCACCACAGCGCTGCCCCGCTAGCCGCCCTCTGCAGCCCTCGTGTTGCCCCTACTGCCCTGCGCGCCCCGTCGACCCTAGGCCCAGGCCCGCCTGTTGCCCCTAGGCCCCGCGCGCCCGTCGACCCCTAGGCCCCGGTGCGACCCGTCGACCCCTAGGCCCCGGCCCGCCCGTTGCCCCTAGGCCCTATCGCGACCCGTCGACCCGTCGCCCCTAGGCCCCGGCGCGACACGTCGACCCCTAGGCCCCGGCCCCCCGTCGACCCCTACGCCCGGCGCGCCCCGTCGACCCCTAGGCCCCGGCCCCCCGTCGACCCCTACGCTCGGCGCGACTCGTCGACCCCTAGGCCCCGGCCCCCATGTCGACCCCTACGTCCGGCCCGCCCGTTGACCCCTAGGCCCCGGCCCCCCGTCGACCCCTACGCCCGGCGTGCAAAGTCGACCCCTAGGCCCCGGCCCCCCGTCGACCCCTACGCCCGGCGCGACCTGTCGACCCCTAGGCCCTGGCCCCCACGTCGACCCCTACGCCCGGCCCGCCCGTTGACCCCTAGGCCCCGGCACCCCGTCGACCCCTACACCCGGCGCACCCCATCGACCCCTAGGCCCCGGCCCCCCCCGTCAACCCCTACGCCCGGCGCGACCCGTCGACCCCTAGGCCCCGGCCCCCCACGTCGACCCCTACGCCCGGCCCGCCCGTCGACCCCTAGGCCCCGGCCCCCCCCCCTCGTCGACCCCTAGGCCCCGGCCCGCCCGTCGCCCCTACGCCTGCCAGCCGCCCCTAGGCCTGCAAGCCGCCCCTAGGCCCGGCCCGCCCGTCGCCCCTAGGCCCCGGCCCGACCGCCCCCCCTACAGCCAGCGCGCCGCCCGCTTGCGGCCCGCCAGCAACTCTTGCAGCCCGCGCGCTGCCCCTCTTACAGCCCGCACTCCGCTTCTTGCCGCCCGTGCGCCGCCCCTTGCATCCCCCGTGCCGACTCTTGCAGCTTGCTAGCCGCCCCTTGCGACCTGCTCGCCGCCCCTTGTAGCCTGTGCATTGCTCTCTCGCAACCCGCTAGCTGCCCCTCTCCTCTGCTGCTATGGCTTCTCTTCGTGTTCTCGCTTTCGATCATGAGGGCCGCCCTATCTAGTTTGACACGTGGCTCGACGACCTACAGCTGTACCTACTGAGCGACTCTAGGGACAGTGTTTCGTTGTTTGACCACACGTCTGGCGCCGCTCCCGCCCCTCCCGCCACAGCTGGCAGTGCGACTCGCTCACAGTGGCTTACTCGCGACGCTGTTGCCCGCTTAGCCATTCGCAACCACCTGCCGTTAGCCGAATGCGCTCACTACGGACAGCACAGGACAGCACAAGCACTGTATGACGCTGTCGTCGCTCGCTACTCCTCGCCTGCCACTGCTGCTCTAGGCCGCCTTCTACCGCCCTACCTGTTCCCCAAGCTGTCAGCCTTTGCCATAGTAGAGGACCTAGTTTCCCACCTTCGCACTAGCGACGATCGCTACCGCGCTGCCGCCCCAGCTGAGTTCCTTGACAGGAACCAGCCCCCGATGTTCATCACTCTCTACTTTATAGTCACCCGCCTCCGTGACTCTCTTCGCTCTGTTAGGGACCACTTTCTCTCCCTCGACCCCACAGTCCTCACTATTGACCTCCTCGAGCAGCACCTCCTTGCAGCTAAGACTAGTGTAGTCACTGCAGATGCTGCTCGTGGCACTCCGCGCACACCCTTCTTTGAGGGGTGCTCCCCCTCCCCCCTTGCCCCCTCCTACGCCTCTGCTGCTGCTATCGACGTCCCCGGTGCTGAGGATGTCGGGGCTGCTTCTGCTAGTGCAAGGGTGGCAGGGGTGGTGGCGGTGGCAGCAGGGGTGGTGGTGGGGGCAGCAGTGGAGGTGGTGGAGGCAGTGGAGGTGGTGGCAGCGGTGGGAGTGGTGGCGGGAGTGGGGGCTTTGGTGGCGGCGGTGGAGGCAGCGGTGGGAGTGGCGGTA